CAAGCACTCTACCAACTGAGCTATTTCCCTAGTCCCCTTACAAAATAATATTAATAATTAAAAACCCTGTTTAAAAAACCCAAAGATTTTTAGGGCCCCTCCAGGGTTTCTTAGGGATCTTATAGGATACTGAATCTTCATTAGTTTCACAGTATATCTGTCTTGGTTAATAATTAGACACTATCCTCATGGTGGTTCTGATATAATATGTATGTATGTATTTATTTATTCATGGTTTGGGGATTTAACCAAGGGGCACTTTACTACTGAGCAACATCCAGTCCTTTTTTTAATTTTGCTTGTGATCCTCCTGCCTCAGCCTCTCAAATCACTGGGATTATAGACAAGTGCTACGGTGCCCAGCTTGAATAGTTTTTAGAAGTTTGCTAAAAGTTTAGAAATACATATCATTTTTTTTTTCTTGGTACCAGGGATTGAACTCAGGGGCACTTAACCACTGAGCCCTATTTTGTATTTTATTTAGAGACAGGGTCTCACTGAATTGCTTAGTGCCTCGCTTTTGCTGAGGCTGACTTTGAATTTGTGATCCTACTCACTCAGCCTCCTGAGCTGCTGGGATTGCAGGCCTGCGCCACCACACCCGGCTACATATCACATTTTAAAAAATATTTTTTTAGTGGTTGATGGACCTTTATTTTATTTATTTATTTATATGCAATACTAAGAAATGAACTCAGTGCCTCATACATGTTAGACAAGAGTCTACCACTGAGCTACTACCCAAGCCCCACATCACATTTGGATAGCATTAGAAATACTTTTTGGTTGTATTTTCCTGCTGGAGAATTGAACCCAGGGCCTTGCCACATGCTAAGTACCACTAAGCTATACCTCTAGCAGTTTAGTAAGAAAATTCTTTTACTTCCCCTCGCTCCCTCCCTCCCTCCCTTCCTTCCTTCCTTTTCTAATTCAACCTCCACTAAGAATTTGCTGGCTTTTAAATTATAGGCAAGTATTTTAACTTCTTCAGTTTTCAAATTCCTCATCTGTAGAATGGGCTTAATATTTATTTCAAATTAGAAATGAAAATAAATAAATACTTGGTACATTTCCTGACATAAATACCCAGTAAATATGGACGATTATGATTATATTGATAGTTAAAATATTAAGCTAACACATATGGGAACTTCTGTTTCTCCATTATAACTTTCCTCATTGACTATAAGTAAAATACTTTGTAAAGTGAATTTCAAAGGAATATACAGATTAAAATTATTAAAATTAGTCAGGCACAGTGGCTTGTGCTTATAATCTCAACTACTTAGGAGGATCACTTGAGTCCAGGAGTTCAAGACCAACCTGAACACATAGTAAAACACTGTTTCAATAAATAAATTAATAAATAAAACAAAAATAAAAAATAAAATTAATTTCAGTTTAAAAAATAATGTTTTTAGGACTTGAGATATAGTTCAGTGGCAGAGTGCTTGCTTAGCATACACAGGCCATGGGTTTGATCCCCAGCACTGAAAAATGAAAAAAAAATATTATGAAAAGTAATAACTCTATTATAGAATATATGGAAAATAGTGAAAGCAGGAATAAAAGCATCTATAGTTTCACTAGACTTGTGCTGTATTTCCTTCTTGTACTTTTCCCCTAATGCAGGTTCTGTTTTATAAAAATATGCTTGAAATAAGCAGACCCAATTTTTTTTTTCAGGTAGGTGTGCAAATATAGCATTATTATAATGGAGTATTTCAAATGCACGGCAAATCTCAAATATATTTTACACAAAACTTTCAGAAAATCAAGTACAAGAAAAGGGACACACGTTTGCTGTATATCTATCCTTATTTCAAAAATTTGTGCTTTTCAAAATTATGACTCCAGAATATATAATTTAATATTCTGCATTTTTTTCTTAGATTATATCACAAAAGCTTCTGCACACTATTACATATTACTAAGACAGCATTCATAGAGACTAGAGCAGGAAACAGGAAGGCAATGGTGTGATAAATCAGATAAATCAGTGTTTTTGGTTTGCCTACAACTATAATGTAGGAAACGTAGACAAAGAAGTTAGAACTCAGAAATTCTAGCCATCTAACTAAATGTCTGTCAGTAAGAACTAACTAACTAAATAAATAAGATACATATATCAGCATAATCCTAAATTCTATATATATTTAAATTTCTTCTTTAATGGGAAAGTGTTGAAATACTATTATATAGCAAAGACTTATTTATCATGATAACATTGGGATTTTAGCTCTCAAAATTGGGTAGAGGGATATGTCTTTAAAATCTAGCAATGCAATATAAATCTTTACTGTATGGAACCAATCAAGGTCTGGTTTTGTTTAAATACTGGGGATTCAATTCAGGGGCACTCTACCACTGAGCTACATCCCCAGCCTTTTTATTTTTTATTTTGAGACAAGGTCTCACTCACTAAATTGCTAAGGCTAGCTTCAAATTTTCCATTCACCTGCCTCAGCCTCCCAAATTACTGGGATTACAGATGTGTGCCACCAAACCCAGTTTAAATACTCTTTTGTGTTGACATTCATTAATTTCAGAGCACAAGTTTTTGCTTTTAAGCTTCTTTGTAGGAACTCAAGTCATTCTAAAAAACTATGAAATATAACATACATTATGGAATAATTCACACATGCATTGCCAAATAAGGAAAAGATGGTCCAGGCATAGCAGTGCATGCCTGTAATCCCAGCTGCTCTGGAGACTGAGGCAGGAGGATCTGGAGTTCAAAGCCAGCCTCAGCAAAAGAGAGGCCCTAAGCAATTCAGTGAGGCCCTGTCTCTAAATAAAATACCAAAAGGGCTGGGGATATTGCTCAGTGGTTAAGTGCCCCTGGGTTCAATACCTGGTACCAAAAAATAAAAAAAAAAAAAAAAAAAGAAAGAAATTCTTATATATGTTATAAGAATGAACCTTGAAGACATTATACTAAATGAACTAGGCCAGTCATAAAAAGACATACTGTAATTCCACTTATGTGAGGTACCTAGAGAAGTTGAATTCATACAGGCTGAAAACAGAGGATGGGGGAGGAGGGCAAGGGAAATTATTGGTTTAATTAATTCATTATTATTGGGCTGGGGTTGTGGCTCAGCAGTAGAGTGCTCACCTAGCACCTGAAAGGCCCTGGGTTCGATCCTTATCATCACATAAAAATAAATAAATAAAAGTATTGTGTCCTAAGCTACAACTAAAAAATAAATATTTAAGAACAACAAAAAAATTATTATTATTATTTTGCAGTACTGGGGATTGAACCCAGGGTCTAGTACATGCTAGGCAAGTACCATTTTTTTTTAAATTTTATTTTTGGAGGTGCTGGGGATTAAACCCAGGACCTTAGACAGCTAGGCAAGTGTTCTACCATTGAGTTACACCCCAGCCCCATTTTTACCTTGTTTTGAGACAGGGTCTCACTAAATTGCCTAGAATTGTTGTTGTTGTTGTTACCAGGATTGAAACAGGGGCACCCCCCCCTTTTTTTTTTAATTTAGAGGCAGGGTCTCTGAGTTGCTTAGGGCCTGGCTAAATTGCTTAGGCTGGCTTTGAACTTGCAATCCTCCTGCTTCAGCCTCCCCAGCGGCTGGGATTATAGGTTTGGGCCACTGCCCTGGGCTGATCTTGAATTTGCAATTCTCCAGCCTCAACCTCCAGAGTAGCTGGGATTACAGGAGTATGCCAGCATGCCATGCAGATTTATTGTTAAATGGGTATGACATTAATGGATAGTTCTGTTTTATAAGATGAAAAAGTTCTGGAAATGGACATAATGGTTATACAACAATGTGAATGTTGCAGTTCAGAGGCTAATGTCCCCGAACTGCATACTTAAAAATGTTTAAGATGGTAAATTTTGTTATGTATATTTTTATCATAATTTTAAAAAGTTCCCAATGTTACATACACTGAGAAAAGTGTATTATGTATGTATGCTCACTTTAAAAAATAATTGCAAAGCAAATATATGTGTAATCACCACCTAGCTCAAGAAATAATATATTATCCGAGAATATCAGTGTCCCTCATCAAACCTCTTTCTTCCTGAATAAACACTACCATGACTCTTAACATTGACTTTAAAAAATCAAGACTGTTATGTGATAATGCAGCTTAAGTTAGATCAAGGGTACAAAACGGAACAAAAGTATTTCTTTAATTTAAAATATTTAAATTAATTTAAATATTCTGTATAAATGCAAAAACAAAAACAAAAAGAACCTTAAAAACTTTAAAGCACTCTTTCTCTCCTTTACTCTTGAAACTCTTCTAAGACCTATTTTGGTTCCACAGTTGACCTCACCTGCAGAGTTTAATTAAAAAAAAAAATCTTTAGTGTAGATTTTCATTCTTCTCTTTCTCCTTTGCCTCCAACTACAAAGAAACAATGATTTAAACCCTTTGTGCCTTTTAGAAAATTACACAGATACCCCATTGTGGAACCTTATAATCCCTTCGTGGAAAGGAAGAGATTAGCATATGAATACAAAGCAAAATGAATCCAGAATACAAAATGATCTACTGAATTGTGAAGCTCTTGTATTCTTAAAAATGTATTTATTTCCTTTTTTTGTATTGCCCCTTTAGTGGTCTCAGGGTTAAGGGAACTGAGCTTCCCCTCTGGTTACCCGGAAAAGGATTAAAAAAAAAAAAAAAGCCAACAGATTCTAGGAGGTGCAAAACCAACAGATGGCTCCCAGCGCCAGTGGAATCTGCTACACTCGACAGGAGCTTGCTTGCCGGCGAGAGTGTAGAAAGTGCTGTTCGCAGACTGCGTGGTGAAGGAGAGAAAGCGACAGAAGAGAGAGCCATAGTGCTGACGTTGAAGGCCCGGCCCTGTGAGGTTGCACAGGGTAAGTGGCGTTGGCCAGGAGGCAGTGGCTAAGGGGAAGGAAAGAGGATTTGGGCTAGGGGCGGGGCCTGCGGCACAGCGTGGCTCCTGATTGCTGGAGCGCAGCTGCCAATCTCGCAGAATCGCTCGGTTAACCAGTGCGCTGGCGAGTCGCGCTCAGATATACTGAGCGAGCTCTGAGAAGCAGCCTCAGATCCTGACGGTGCAGCAGCCCGCAGCCTCAGCCAGGGAGTCCCAGCCGCTTTCAATGGAGGAGAAGCCCGGCCAGCCACAGCCTCAGCACCATCACAGTCACCACCATCCGCACCATCATCCTCAGCAGCAGCAGCAGCAGCAGCCGCACCACCACCACCATTATTATTTCTACAACCACAGCCACAACCATCACCACCACCACCATCACCAGCAGCCTCACCAATACCTGCAGCATGGAGCCGAGGGCAGCCCCAAGGCCCAGCCAAAGCCGCTGAAACATGAGCAGAAACACACCCTCCAGCAGCACCAGGAAACGCCGAAGAAGAAAACAGGTCTGGGAGGGAGGACGGGTGGGGGAAGGGGGTTGGGGGTGGGGGACGGGGGGTTGGGGGTGGGGCTAGATCTGAAAAGCGCGGACGGGGTCGGGGTGTGTGTGTGTTTTCTCGGGGTCTGGGGATGCCCCGTTTCATTCTCCCGAAGCTCGGGCAGGGCGGAGGGGCTTGCAGCACCCTCTCATTCTCTTAGGCATGGGAGAGGCCCAACCAGGCCAGCGTGACCTTCCCGGCCCCCGCCCCGGCTGAAGGGAGACCCGCAGGGTCGGCCTTGATGATCCAGCCTTATTCCTTTCCCTTTCACCTTTCTGTGGCCCTGAGTTACCTTAATTTGGGAGTCCTGAAGTGGGGTAACCTACCCCGCTAAAAATCCCCTGGAGGTGTAACTCAGGAAGGCCTAGCGAATCCCGACCCGGGTAGTGTCGCGAGGCCCTGTTACTGGCGGCGAGGAGTGGGTAGGTGGACTGAGTTAAGGAAGCGTCCTCACCCGCCACCCCAAGCCCACCTGTGGCCTTGGGGTTCCCCCCTGTCGTGGGGGGTGACTGGGACCCCTGGTCTCTGGGGTCACTTCCACTCCTAAATGCCCTTTTTGGGTGCCGGACCCCGCAGTCCGGCCCCGCGGCTTCTCCCGAGGCCGGCGCCCCGGACCCGCTCCCCCCAGAGCCGGCGCGGCTGGAATGTTCTCTCCTCCTCGCGGGGCCGCTTCCTGTCCGCCATGTTGGAAGCCGATTCCTGTCACCGACTCCGGCCCACTGAGGAGCGGAGGGGAAAGGGTGTAGAGGGGCACGCGGCGTGGCGGAGCCAGCGACCCGGGAACCCCACGGGCCATCGCCTATCCCCCAGCACTTCGGGGGCGCCGTCGCCCCCGGTCCCTAGGCCGCCCCTCCCCCCGGC